AAATGACGTTAAATCCTGTGTGTGTGCGTGTGTGTGTTTGTGTTATTTCCAACGTTTTGACTTAATTATCTTGTCATTTATCAAGTTTACTTTTATTCCATTTCTTTCATACTAAAACTAGTTTATCCTTCAACTCAAATTTATTGTAAGATCAAGATTACAATATTTCGTTGTTTATAAAATCAATTACGTAGTTCACTTACCAAAGACAACAATACCAACGACTAATTGCGGAACGCGAGGCATTTCGATGTTTCAGTGCTCAACTCGTCTTCTCCTGGATCTAACATAACTTTTAAACGTCGATTCAGTAAAAAAAATAATATATTTGTTTGCCCATTGCCATAACAACGCTGGAGTTGGAGGCAACCGCTGCGCGTGAGTTACGACACGTTATGCAACAGGGCCCAGATACGTATATAACCTACCAGCGAGATGAAGCCAACACATTCCCCAATATATTTTACAGCGTAAGAGATACTAAATACAGCTTTCATCATTTGCTGACTTGACATCAGGGCAGTTCTGTCACGTTCGCCCCACCATCAGGGCTGGAAGAAAGGGGATGGGTAACCCAGTCGCGAAAGGGGCCAACACTTTAACAATGCATTTATCGTGGATCAACCAGGAGTTTCTTTCGAACCTTCCTTTTTTGTCGGAAAAGGTCCTCTTTGGGTAAAATTATATTTACGTACATGAACGTTTCATGATAAAGGCTCCACTTTTTCAGAAGAAGACCCCCCCCCCCCCCTTTGAAATTGCTGGCTGCGGGCCTGGAACTCATACGAAGAGTTGATGCCTACTTTTGATATACAGTAGAAAGAGATAATACTTAATAGGCCCTACTTAATTATCAAGATACAGTAAATAATAACATTTGCTTATCTATTATGAATGTAAAAAGGCCTTTGCGTACAGTGTGTGTTGTAGAAATGGTACGTAGTAGGCCTACATGGTTAACTTGCTTCAAAATGTACCTACAAAGACTTGTTTTATTTAAAATCCAAGCCCACCGGTTCATCGGTCTTTATTAGTAGCTATACATTTTTCTCCTTCAAAGGTTCGACAATAAAATATTAATGGTTTTAGGTTACTTGCTCGGCTGCTGTAAAGCTTGGACCTATTTAGGTCCAAGTATAAAGTAATAAATCAGGACATGGAAATAATGTTGTTATGTCCATGATCAGGATGTATTTTTAGATTTGGTGCTGAATTGTATAAAATACCTTTTCAGTGGCTGACTTCCACTGCAAAATAAGTCAACATATTTTTCTATTTTCATTATTCTACAAGACCTTTCCAGGTACAAAATGTATAATGAATGTGCACCGATACTATATGTAAACAAAACCATCTGACATCTGTTACACGGAAGTTATATTTAGAATGGGGAAGTACAAGTGACTCATAAAAATTTTTATTGGTTTCTGTTCAATCCCAAAAAAACTGAGACATCTCACGAAGGAGTGCGTTAAAGACACATATATAACACGTGCTGAGATCTTCATATGTTTAAACAAGAACAATCACCAGTACATTTGAAATGTGTATACCGGGTATGTAGCTCCAACCATTAGGAACTCGAGATATGTAAGCTCGAGTACAGATCTACGGCCTGGTAAAGTTGAACTCATCGAATTTACTCTACATGTGTGATACACATAGCACGCGTTTAAATTGAATTTATATTTCGCTTGGTGTAAAAGAAAAGTGGTTGCATGTGCTGGTGAGTCTTGCGGGTTCAAAAGAAAGGTATCCAAGATATATTTCTGTGTGACCTCAGTCGATTATTATAATCAAAACTTTGAGAAGACATCAACAAATGCACGCAGTACTAAGAGAAGAACATTATATCGCTGTGCAATAGAAGCGATGTCGACTACTACACATATGGCGATGCATTGCGGTGGGCTGAGGACAAGTGAGCTTCGTAGGGTACGAGTTCGAATAGCAGCCGTGCTTTTGATACATGTATATGTACACCTGTGTCAAATCTCACCTGTTCAGTCGAACACCCTGGGTTCTATGACCAATTCATCGCCAAAGCCGGCGCCGGTGTCGTTCAACATTGACAACCTACTGGATTACACTCACGCGTATTATGAAAGTGTCAGTCGCAAATGTACAGTTGAAGTGTTGGGCATACTCGTCAGCATCTCCCAGCCTATCAAAAAACTCCGACTGGACTGCAGTGGAAGAATCATGAAAGAGGGGATGCTGCGAAAACTTGATTTGAGGTTGAAAAAGACGAAAGTCGGTCCACCAGCGCAGCTTTGGGAAATTATTTTGACAAATAATCAAATTTCCGTGATAGGGGAGCTCACCTTTTCTTGTTACATCCAGGAAACAAGGCATATCGATCTTAGTGCTAATAAATTCACCGAGATTCCACTCTCTCTCCAAAATCTGACTCTCCTGGAAAAGTTAAACTTGAGCAGAAACTATCTTTCTTCCATACAGAACGGTCACCTGAAATTCCCGCATTTGAAAGTCATCGACCTGTCTTTCAATGAATTAGCGGAATTTGACCAGAACGCCTTCTACTTTGTCAGAAGTCTTGAGATATTATTTTTGGCGGGAAACCACATTATTCAACCGGGGGATAGGGGATTTGATTTTCTTCAACCACTGCATAAGTTGGAAAGCCTGGATCTGAGTAGCAACAAAAATTTATTAAGTGTCAATGCAGATCTCAATACGCTTTCCGTAATGGGAGCTTTGAAACATTTAAATATAAGTAGAATTAACCTCAGTACCGTGTCGTCAATACATTTAGGAAAATTATCCTCTTTGGAAAGTTTGACAATGGGCGAAAATCCCCTGCACATGGATCGAAACATCTTCCAACACATGGCTCAGCTAAAGGTCTTGTCTTTAGTGAACTGTAACCTAGACCACCTAGATAAAGAATTCCAGAATCTCAGCTCACTCCAATCTCTAGACTTGTCAGACAACATGCTCTCCGACTTGGCTGAGAATACCTTTGACGGATGCAACAGTCTAAACCATCTCATACTCTCAGGAAACCGCTTCAGTAACGTTCCAGTATGTAGCATCTATAAATATGTGGTCTTTTTCTTGTCACGTTTTGAGAACGATTCATTTGATTATCAAAGCAGACCGTGCGTTTGTGCTAATCCTCCATATTTGAAACGACGTTTGATCTCACCGATTATGATCATCAGGGCAGTCTGTACCTCGCCTTTTTTTCCTTATTTGAAACCATTGTGCGTCACGCTGCTTCAGTATGTCCCAATGATTCCCGAGTGTGGATATTTCATTCAATTCACGGACATTAAACGGTTTTTGTGCTTTAACATATTGGTCCATTTGTTTGTAAACTGTTTGTTCAAAGATTTCCCTTCCATTCTGAGAGCAATTATTCACGCCGGCATTCTGATGATACAAACGTTTATACTGGACTTGATAGGTCTTTTTTACCGGTTAGACGTATTCACCTATGGTTTTCAATATTCGCGAGATCTAAGGAACCAGGTCATCTTCTTCCTGCCTTTGTCTTTTAAACTCCTTAGTACGTTAAGATGCTACACTATCATGGACAATTTTTACGATTTGGCAATATTTGTTCTTTTCGTACTTGACGTCTCAATTTTTGGGTTCATACATGCTGTGGGTTTTGTACGCCGACAGGATATAGACGAAGATACTTACCGGTTGATGACGTCTGTTCTTGGTGTAACATGGGCAGTACCTACCGCAGTGTATAGCTTAGCGTGTGTTCTTCATTTTTACCCCGAAACGGACCCCACTTTGGGTCTGGAGGTAGGTCTTAAGCGAAGGTTTTCTGACTGTTCTTTTAAGAATATGTTTAAATTTATTTTGTTTTAAACGTTCAAGCAAATAACCCAATACATGAGAGCATCTACAATTAAGCGTGTTTTGAAATACATGGATTGCTTGTTTTAATTTTAAATTTGAATTTAGGTAAATAAATGCTACATGAGACAAAGTCGCACCATGTGTATGAACCATGTGTATGAAAAATGACTTCGAGTTTAACTAGTAATCTGTAATGAATTTATTTAAGTTTCTTTGACAATTTGAAGTGGATATTTTTCACGTGATTCATTTGAATTTGATTCAGGACGGTAAGAATTGCTATGTCGTGTCCGCTACTATATGCATAGAAAGCACAGTCAAGACTATGTATTTTGACATGCGCAGCTCTGTTGAGAATGAACAAATGAGGAGGTATATAACAAAAGCGTTTGAAATGGACCCTGGAACAAAAATGCGTTTTAAGTACAAGGGACAGGAGCTTGACAATTTTAAGTGCATATTTTTAGATTTCGATCCGTTTGACGACGTGGAAATACACGTTATCATTCTACATAAGCTAAAAGTAAGATATTTCGGTAGCCGGTTTGTTGAAGTCTACTGTGGACGAGATGATTTGATATCACGGCTTAACACAAATATTGCTAAAACTTTAAATATACCAAGAGCGTTGGTTCGACTGATGCAGAATGAAACGAAATGTGAAGAACACAGAACATGTGCCGATTACGGCCTTACTGGGTGCTCTGATATCCATATTGAACCAAATTCCATAGCCATACAGCTTGACAGCGGACTGATTCACAAGGAAGACATAAATATAAAAGCCAGCTTAGGTGATTACTTGAAGGCCCTTCACCTCGAAAACTTTAGATCACTAGATGTTTTTGCAATACATTCAGAAACTCAAGAAAGTCAGGGAAACCTGGATCCGGCCACGCCCCTGTATAACTTCGTAAATCTTGATGCTAATAGTCCTACATGGGTCTTGTTTATGCACGGTGTCATTCGGGTTCAACTAACTTTCCTGCCACACGAGCTAAGGTACATTCCTAGTCAGGAACACCATCTTGCTCACGTTCAGTCAACAATAGGGGCCTTAAGAAGGCGCTTGCCGGTAGAAGCCAGCCATATTGTATTTGACAATAAGGATCTTTCTGATGATGCCACAATTGCCGAATGTGGACTGACAGACGATGCGTTATTAGTGATCGACACGGATAAGACCGTCTCCGTATTTACCCCGGAGAGGAACAATCTGGATTTCCCGTTGAGAGCAAGCAGTACTGTTAGGGACCTCAAAGAAGCAATACATGCAGGGACGAAAGTTCATCTCGAAGAGCAAAATTTAACCTACAATGGGGAAACACTGGAAAACGACAAAAGGCTTTTTGACTATGGGATTTATGGGCGTGACCAGTCGATAACTCTATCGAAACAAAGTCTTAGCGTCGTAGTTTCTCTCCCTGACAACCATTCCATCACAGTCAAATTTCAAGTGAATGATACGGTTCAAACGCTAAAGCGCTCTATTCATGAGAAAACTGAAATCTCGCCAGAAGAGCAGAGACTTTACCTGGACTCTCGCGAGATCTTTGACGACAGTGTTCTCTCCGAGGTAGGGTTAACATCCGATAAAGCCATCACGTTAAAGAAAAGAAAAGCCCTTAAGTTGAAGGAGGAGTGGAGGCAAAAAAGCATACGCTGGAAAAAGAAATTTGAAGATTTTGTTCAGTTAACTGAAGATGACTTTGAGGACGTTGCTGGGCTTTACTTGTGTACCAAAGACCCGAAATTCCGTATCAGCAGCGGGTAGGATTAACTTCGTTGGGTTTATAAATAACATTTCGTATTTCTTAATGAATTAAAATAGTGAATTTTTAAGCTGTTTTATTTATTGTAACTTAAAAGTTACTAACTTCATTACTCAATACAATTATTTAATATGTAAAAAGCAAATCGTAGTTTAAATCCTCTATCCAGATAATCCAAACGTTTACCTTTTTATTCATAAATTAACTAATATTTCCAGAAGCGAAAGCACAGAAGTGTATTTAGGCCTTCTAGGCGACGGGACCGAGGTTGCCGTTAAACGGTATTTGATAACGAGCTGGACCCTGGATAACGAGCTGGACCTGCTGTTAGTGCTGGACCACCCACGCATCGTGCGCTACCGGATCGTGGTTCCCGACAAATCCTTTGCCTATCTGGTGCTAGAATTGGGGGAATACACATTAAAGGAGTACACTGAGATCTTAAAACGTAGCAATCGTTTGAAAGAAAAAGGTCCAACGCTCGTTCGTGAGATTATGGAAGGATTA